AAGAAGTTACGCACATTGCTTTTCTTCCTTTATCCTTCGCAACAATTATCACTAATGTCGAATGGTGGAATAAAATCACTTGAAATATTGGATTGGACTGTATTTCCATGAGGGATTAGCATTGATGATGCACTATAAGCTTTACATTGTTTACCCATAGTGACACTACCGCAATTTTTAGTATTACCCTTACGTGATTTTTTTTTGACAATATGATATCGTAAGAGTTTCTGGATGAGGAACTGCAAATAACCAAGTGTTACTGGTAATTATTAACAATCACAGATTTACAACTTTATACGTCAATCAATCCTAAAAAAATATATAATAAAAAAAGATAATTAAAATTTATTAATTCTAGTTTTTATAATCTATATATACTGATTATGTTTAGTTTTAATAATTTTTTTTTTTTTTTTTATTTAAAATATTTATGTTGAATAGTTTGTTTATTTTTCCTTTTGAATTGTACCTAAGCATCTTTGAATTTTTTGAGTAATGGTATATGGAGCGCGGCGGAAAGTTTTTACTTGCCACGTCGAACTGATCTGTCGTAAAGTAAACACTTTGTCACCACTCTCGAATATTCTAAGTATAACTGTTTTTACCGTAAATTTATTTTTCGATGGCGTTTTACATTTTAATAAGTTTTCTTTGGCTAATTGATTAGAATGTTGTACTTTTTGTTTAAGATTGTTTATGGAATCATCATAAGTATAATTGACTTAGGTGGTTGTTTAACTGATGTTGGTAATGTAGGAGTATGTCCGAATAAAAGTTCAAACGGAGAAAATTGTGTAGCAGTGTGAGGTGTAGTATTATATGTAAATGTTGAATAGGGAATCCAATTATCCCAGTCTGTTTGAGATGTCTTAATGAAGTGTCTTAAATATTCTTCTAGAACTTTATGAGAGTGTTCTAGTGCTCCGTTTGACTCAGGGTGATAACTTGTTGTTCGGATCTTTTTTATCTTTAAAATTCAAAGTACTTTTAAAAATATCACTTAAAAAAATTTGACCCCTGATCTGTGACTAGCATGCCAGGTATTCCGTAAATGCATATAATATCTTCGTTACAAAATGTACATTTAATATCAAAATACTTAAAAAAATAGTATATTAATTATATATTTTGTTAATCATCCTGAAAGTTGTTAACATGTATTTGACTACTGGTTTCTGCAAGGGTCCAAACTTATGATTCAAAAACATTTTTCGAATCTTGGTTTTGATGCCGTGGTCGTAATTACCATAGGCATTTTTGTTTTTTCGAGACTGCTATTTTTTTACAAAGTTCATTTTTATAAACCTTTTTATGTCTTTTTTCATACCTTTCCATGTATATAATTGAGATAATTTTTTATATGTGCGGGATGAACCTTGATGACCTCCTAATGGACAATTGTGTTTTTCATTTAAAATGCCAACCTTTCAGCATCTTAGGGGTTGATAAGACTGTTGTTTAATATTGTACTTCTGAATAGAGTGTCTTAAAATTATATCTTATCATAGGAAGAACGATTTCCCATTTGATTAATGAGTTAAAATATTATTTTATAAATGATAGTTCGGTTTTTCGTTGGATATAATATTTCGTAAAGATAGTAAGCAAGACCAAATATTTTCATAATTTATCACTGAATGTATTTTCGTTGTCTGTTAATAGAAATATATTACAATTATTTTGTTGATACTGAAAAACTGACGGCATATCTAAAGGATTTGTGTTATCGTAATGTTCTAAAAAAATGTATTAATTTGTTTATTTTTTTCTAGAATTTTAAAGTCGTTTTTGTTGAACACCCTTTGCAAAAATTAAAAACCATAGGTATGTTGTGGTGTTTCAAACAGATTTGTGTTTTTTTCTTTGACTTTGGAATTTATAATTGCTATGGCTTTATATTTATTTTAAAATTATCACAATTGGTAATACTAGAATTTATTACTCTTAAGCTGTGCTAATTTATTCTACTCAAACAAAGTTTGTATTAATCTTTCCAGCTTTATAAATTATTTCACAGTCATATTCTTCAAGTTTTATTCTTAAAGACGTCAAAACTTATAAAACCAAAAATCTTTTGATATTAAACATATAGAGTAGGGGTTTGTGATCTGTAAATAATTTAAATAAAAAATATATGATTTAAATGTTTTACTGCCTGCACGATTGCAGTTAGCTCTTTCTCTGAAGTTGAATACCTGTTCTGCTTCATTTAGAGTTCTACTAGCAAACGC